GCGTTTCCTCAGGTGAATCCAGAACTGAAAAGCTGCTTTGCTGAGCAGGGCCTGAAATTCGTAGGCCAGGACGTGGAGGGAGAGCGCATGGAAGTAGTTGAGCTGGAAGGTGAGCACTTGAGCAGCTGTGTTGGGGTCGCTGTGTCTCAGGGAGAGTGTCTTGTCCGGCGGGGCAGCGTCTGTGGGCCCAGGGCAGGGTCTCCGGATCCCACGCCGCTCCTGAAGGCTAAACGGCGATGCCTGACAGCAGTTAGAGGATGGAGGAATATGCAGAGCACAGGAGCCAATGCCAGGGCTGGAGCTCGGTGCTCCTGAGGCTCTGCTGGGCCATGCCCCCAGCCGCCTTTGGCAGACTGTCGGCAGTAGATGCCAGATGGAGGTTTCCCACGAGAGCCTTCCAGTGTGAACAGGTTTTCAGAACGGTTCTAACACACTCCACGCTTCTCTCTCCTCATGCAGAGCATCCCTTTTTCGTTGGTGTCCAGTATCACCCCGAGTTCCTCTCCAGACCCATCAAGCCGTCTCCCCCCTACTTTGGCCTCCTGCTGGCCTCTGCCGGGAGGCTCACGCATTATCTACAGAAGGGCTGTCGGCTCTCTCCCAGGTGGGCGTGAATTCATACCCTAGTTTCTGTAGTGCAGAGTCTTTAACACTGGGGCTGGAGACTCCGTGACCAGACAGGAAGGGGGCTCCCAGCAGGCCGGACCCAAAGGCATCAAGTGTGCACTTTCAGCACCCTCCTTTCATCAGGGGCTGGGCTGTGCCTCCACGGGGGCTGTGGAGTCGTTGCACCCAACACGGAGCCTTGGGAAGGCTCTTGCAAAGAGTAAGAGGTCTGCGTGCTGCTGCGTGTTGGCCTGGCCCTTGCAGGAGGTAAGGAATGCTGCTCGCATCCTCCCAGTACCCGGCAGGGGACAGCCACCTGGATAGTCTCTGGGTTTCCCTCTTGCTGGGCCTGAAGGAGGAGACGTTCCTTTCTGGCCTTTTCTTGGTCCAGCAGGACTGCCGTGCTGGAGTCAGTTTTGAATGTCTTGGTCCCTGGCTCTTGTGCAGTGCACTTCCGTGCTTAGTGCGTGCTCCAGGTGAGCTAATGACGCACAGGGGCCTGGGCCTTGCCTTACAGCTTCTCTCGTCCCTGAGTTGGCAAAGCGCCGGGGCAGTAGCAGAGGAAGGGCCCTGCCGGAGAGGGCTTGCTGTGGAATGGATGCTGATGGAGTTTCTGGTTAGCGTATCTGACTGCTCCTGGCCTTTAGGAAGAGATGAAAGAGCCTTTGAAATGTGCAGGCCCCTATACTTAAACCAAGCCACATTCTCATAGAAACGACAGAATTTTGTCTTAACGGGCTTTGTCTGTCCCCTGCACTATTGGGTGCTGTTTCTCTCTTGGGGGAGTCTTAACTTTGGATGCAGGATTTCATGTTTCCAACAACTTGTTGAAAAGTAATGAAAGGCCAGGCTCCCTGGCGCTCGGTGCGGAGTGCCTGGGAGAGGCCAGGCCACTGATGGCTTTTCCACAGTCACGCAAGAAAACCCACTAAGGGGAGGGATCCCTGTCTTTAACGAAAGCAGCAGAGGATCATGGGACCCACAACCTGCTGCCTGCAGCCAGTCCCAACGAGCTCTTGGGCAGACTGGTTCTAAAGGGGTTGTGCTCCCAGTAAATGCAAGTGAACTGGGCCGGTCAGGAAGTCCTGTGTGTAATCTCTGTCCGGCGCTGTCTGCCTTCTGTAGGGACACTTACAGCGACAGGAGCGGCAGCAGCTCGCCTGACTCGGAGATCACAGAACTGAAGTTCCCGTCAGTGAATCCTGACTAAGTCCTGGTAATGTTGGAATGTGGTGTCCATCTCTTTCCTCCTTTGCCTTGCCTGACATCTGAACTATTCCAGTCAGTCTGGGAAACACTGGGCTGCACTGCTTATCCCCGGCCCGGCTGCTCCTCATGCTGGAAAGCCCCCTTTCCCCTCCAGGCCTGAACCCCACTCTACCCCTGCTCTGCCTCTTCCTACCCCCCACCTCCTTCCCGTTCCTGCTCTTAGCCCTCCCTCCCAGAGCTTGAATGCTGCCAGTCAGCTGTTCATGGCGCTCCGGAAGGGCTGGCAAGGGGGCTAAGGAGTTAACTGGGGGTTCTTCGGCACAGGCAGAGGGGACATATGGGAGCTGGGTGCTGGTGGGAAGCGGTGGATTTGGGAAAGCTGTTGTTGTTTTGACGAGGAAACCTCAACCTTAAAACTATGGGTAGAAACACTTCACATGGAGAGAGAGCCCTTCAGTTAACCTGCTTGGGCTGCAATCTCTTGTCTCTGCGGGCTCCTCTGCCCGTTTCCCTCCTGTTTAAAAGCACCGTCTGTGTCTCTCGCTCCTTCGGCTTCTGCTCTGCTCTGGCTGCAGGTTCCCAGCTCAAAACCATTTGAGTTGCTGAGCTCTCGTAGCTCTACAGGAGCACCTGTGAAAATCCAATTTGTCATCACTAAAGCAGCCGTTTTTTCTATTGAAAAATCCCAAAATTCAAGCTTCTGCATGGAAGCAAAATTGTTTTAACTCGTTTTGTGATGGCGCTTTTTCTTTTCCAGTCACTTTTCCCTCCCTCTGGGGCCCCTGGCCTCTGTCTGTCTGGCTGTGGCTGACAGGGTCTTGATGGTTCCCTGTTGTGTTCCCTGCCTCTGTGGCTCCCGGCATTGGCCACTGTGGGCAGACAGGATGCTGGGCTGGATGGGCCTTTGGCCTGACCCAGTCTGGCCGCTTGTATGTTCTTGAGAGTCAGTGTCAGAACATGGGGTAGTTAATTTCTCCCTTGATCCCATCCGTCCCTGTCTCCCTGTCCTGTAGGCGCACTTAGTATTTTTCCAGTAAATGAAGCAGAATTGGCACATGTACCTGGAGTATTTGCAAGTGTGAGGGAGGATTTTTGTTGCTTAAAGCCATAGAATCAGGATAGTTCTCTTCCTCCTTCCAAAGGAGCTACCATGTGTAAGTAAAGTGTCAGAGTTACCAGGCTGTCCCAGACGGTCTTCCTAAAACGGTTGTTGATGGCACTTGGAACAAAAATCTTGTTTAAAACCCTTTCCCTCCATTTCACTGTGTATTTGCAAGTGTGAGGGAGGATTTTTGTTGCTTAAAGCCATAGAATCAGGATAGTTCTCTTCCTCCTTCCAAAGGAGCTACCATGTGTAAGTAAAGTGTCAGAGTTACCAGGCTGTCCCAGACGGTCTTCCTAAAACGGTTGTTGATGGCACTTGGAACAAAAATCTTGTTTAAAACCCTTTCCCTCCATTTCACTGTTCTGGTGCCTTGAATCTTGTAAAGGGGATCGGGGGGGG